GAAGTATTAATGACATTTGAAAGTTTATGGATGTAACAAGAATTATTTAGGATGACTGATGTTCTTTCAAAGCTTTTCTCTTAGATTGGCTAATATTTGAATTAAAAGGTTTTGAGTTTGTAAGAACTCTAGCGATATCTTGCCTAGCCATTTTTGGATCCTCAGAAGGTAAATTGCAGATAACTGCTTTCGTTTGGCAGATGATTCTCTCATTTGGAATGTGTCGTAGAATAAAACAGTATAAAGCTTATCACTCATCTTTTACGCGTTCGTCCAACCCTTCTTCTGCCGATTGGTGACTTATGTCTTACTATTTCGACGACTCGGGTCTTCTCCATTCTGCTTATGTGGTTATTCCATTCTTTTTTTTTCCATTTTGTGAACCTAATGAACAAAATAATGAAAACAAGTAGAAAATATGGACTGGATAAAAACACTAGCAAAACCAAGCTAATGATCATCAGCAAGGAAAAAATAACTGGAGCAAATTTGTCATCATCATCATCATTCAGCCCATACTCGTCCACTGCTGAACATAGGCCTCCCGTAGTTCACCCCACAAATTTCTGTCCTGAGCCGCCTGCATCCAATTTGGATGTGTCCGTTTCAGGTCATTCGTCCATCTTGTTGGTGGTCGTCCTCTATTCCTAAAGGCATCTTGTCTGGGTCTCCACTCAAGAATGCGTTTTGTCCATCTGCCGTCCTTCGTTCTCGCGACGTGCCCTGTCCAGTTCCATTTTAAGGTTGATATTCTTTTGATTGCGTCGGTTACTCCCGATCTACGGCGCAATTCTGTGTTGGGTATTCGGTCTCTCAGGGTTAATCCCAACATGGACCGTTCCATTGCCCTCTGTGTTGTTCGAATTTTATTTGCGGGCGTCTCCGCACCATAGGTTAGAACCGGCAGCACATTGATCGAAGACTTTTCTCTTCAAGCAGATGGGAAGAGCTGATTGGAAAACATCTCTTAGCTTTCCATAAGCTGCCCATGTCAACCCTATTCTACGTATTAGTTCATTGGTCTGGTTATCTCTACTTAAGCGAATTTCGTGTCCCAGATATTTGTATGCTGATGTTTGTTCTATACTTGTTCCAGCTATGTTGATGTTCTCACTCAGAATAAGGTTTGTCATCACTTGTGTTTTTGAGTTATTGATCTTTAAACCCACTTGTGTAGAGGCATGGTAGAGTCTTTTGGTAGAGGCACATTTCGATGGCATGATCTATGCGGTCTGTTATCAGGACTATATCGTCCGCGAACCTGAGGAGACTAAGCTGCTCTCCATTTATGTTTATGCCCTCGTCTAGGTTTGCACGCTTACACATGTATTCCAATAATGTTGTAAATAGTTTTGGTGAAATGGTGTCGCCCTGGCGAACTCCACGATGAATGTTGAACTTGTGTGTATCTTCATGGAGTCTGACGCATGCCGTGGCATTATCATAGATATTTTTGATGACAGTGGTGTACCGGTGATCTATTCGGCACTCTTTTAAAGCTTCTAGCATTTTCTGGTGGTTTACTGTGTCGAATGCTTTCTCATAATCCACAAATATTAGGACGAGGGGTTTATTGTACTCTATACATTTTTCGATGAGGCTTTTAATAACTTGTAGATGGTCGTTTGTGCCGAAGCCGGACCTGAATCCTGCCTGTTCGCATGATTGGTAAATGTCCATTTTGTTCGAAAGTCTGTTTGTTATGACTTTTGTAAAAAGCTTGTATATGTGTGAGATGAGGCTGATTGGTCTATAGTTTACGAGATTTGTTAAATCTCCTTTCTTAAACAGAATGATCACTGCATTTTTCCATTGTGATGGTGTTGTTCCTCTTTCAAGGCATTCTGTGAAAAGTATGGAAAGCATTTGTATCAATTTCTCGCCTCCTAAGTTTATGGCTTCGGCAACGACCCCGTCTTATTATTTTTCATTTGTAGGAGAGCTTTTTTGATTTCATTAACAGTAACATCTGGTATGTCTTCCGAGCCCTGGTTTAGAACCTTTGGTATGTTGTCAGTTGGAACATTTTCTTCTGTTTTGCTGTAGAGTTCGCTGTAAAATTGTCCGACAGTTTGTAGAATTTCCTGTTTGTCTGTTGTTATTTCGCCCTTTGTGTTTTTCAGTTTGTATGTAAACCAAATGAGAATTAAACGAGTCTCACAATAAAACTACTTGGGAACTATAATCAATGAGTCGTGGGACAATACCCAAGGGATTAAATGTCGCATCGAAAAGGCAAAGAGTGCATTCTTGACTATGAGTTCTATGTTCAAGAGCCATGACCTCACCCTAGAAACAAAAATAAGGCTCCCTAAATGTTATGTGTACTCACGGCTTCTGTTTGGAGTAGAAACGTGGACATTGAAGGCGGAGAGTCTATCAAAACTACAGGCTTTTGAGCTATGGTCATACAGAAGGATCTTGAAGATACTATGGACAGACAAAGTCACCAATAAAGAAGTACTGCGTAAGATGAACAAAACTGCGGATTTAATCAACATCGTGTAGGGCCGTAAGCTGCTGTACTTGGGACATATAATGAGAAATAAAGGCAGATACGAGCTACTTCAATGCATTTTACAAGGTAAAATTGAAGGAAAAAGGGCCCCAGGACGAAGAAGAATATCCTGGCTTGCAAACCTGAGAGCATGGTATAGAAATACCTCAACACATCTATTTCGTATAACAACCAACAAAGTCATCATAGCCAGAATGATCGCCAACGTTCGGAACGGACAGGCACCCTAAGAAGAAGAATGTGAATTAGGGTGAGATTGGGAATACGATATTCAATTTCGTTGGTCTTACAAGTTCTCACTCTTTATAATACCGTCATGATATTTAAACGAAATATTTAAAGTTTTACCTTTATTTTTCGTGTCTATGATACCATTATCGTACAGTGGGTGATCAAATTATTATGATCACTTCAAAAAACTTTATATTTTACTGTTTAATAAAGAATAAAACTACATATGAGTGTCTAATAATGTGAATATAATATAAAAATAGATCATAAACACGTTCTTTTACAAAATTTTAAAATATTTTTTTCTTTGACCTTAAATAAATTTTTTTTTTTAATATTTTGTGTGACCTCCTTTAGCTTCGATGACAGCTTTGATCCTCCTTGGCATGCTTTGAATGTTTCTCAGGCAGTTTTCTTTTATTTTATCGTTTCTGTGCCAGGTGGCAAGTCTGGGGAATTACCTGGCCACTTCAGTACTTTAATTTTCTTTTTTTTCCAGGTACGATGTTACTCTTTTTGCCTTATAGCACGGTGCTGAATCGTGCATAAAGGTAAAATCCTCCGATTCGCCAAACCAGTCTTTGATTTGTGGCATGAGTTTTGTTTCAGAACTTCAATATACTGATGTTGATTCATCATTCCATTTACAATGTACAGCCTCCCTGTGCCCTTACTGCTGATCACAGACCATACCATAATCTTGAGAGGATGCTTTTCTCGCTCCACTATGCAATCATGATATTTTTCACCCACTCGCCTTCGGACGAAGGCCGACTTATCCATGAGTATCTCCACTGTAGACTCATCGGAGAAACAAACCTGTGAATAAAAAAAACTATAAGATATTTTTTTAGGATAAAAACAGTGGTTATAGTGATTTAAACTTTAGTAGTGACGTAATTTACCTTATTCCAATCCTCAATTGTCCAATTTTGGTGTTCTTTGACCCATTCCAGTCTCTGTTTCATCATTACGATGGTCAACTTTGGTTTTTTGCATGGCGACATGATTTGAAACCTTGCTCAGTAAGCCTTCTGTGGACTGTCATGTCAGAAACTGGCATACCAGCTTCACGAATAAGTCCCTTGAGGATTCTTCTTGGCTTCTTTCTATTGTTTACGAATATATCCCTCATTTTTCTTTCGTCTCTATGTGTAGTGACACGCTTTCGACCACATTTTTGGGCACGCTGGTGAATCAGGGGTTTGTTGGTTTCAATTTTTTTCTTGATATTGCCCACTGTTGCTTGCGCTACTTGGCATTGTTGAGCTATCTGACGTTGGGAAAGCTTTGTATTCAATAGAAGTGTCTTTATTTCCACCATTTTAGACACAGGGACGTCTTTAGCCTTACCCATTATGATTTTCTTCTCAAAAATCGAAATGTTTTGAAAATGTCTTTAAAATTAAAACTGATATTCTTTTTTCAATCAAAAGACTGATATTTTTTTGTACACACTTATGACAAGTCGAAAGAAAATGCAAAAAAGTATTTTTGAAGTGTGTATATTTTAGGCAATTCCTAGCTGAGCGCTTTCGCCTTTACAAAGCCATCATCAGAGCTATGGTCAATTTTTTTAATACCACTACGAAGGAGAGATCTCATTTCCTTAAATTTCAAAATTATGATTTTGTAGGTGTTGAAATTCTTAAAAGTCTTGTGAAAGAAAAATTCTTGTGAAGTCCAGTGTCGGCTTTATATATGTTTTATATGTTTTAAGAATTTCAACACCTACAAAATCATAATTTTGAAATTTAAGGAAATGAGATCTCTCCTTTGTAGTGGTATTTAAAAAATTGACCATAGCTCTGATGATGGCTTTGTAAAGCCGAAAGCGCTCAGCTAGGAATTGCCTAAAATATACACACTTCAAAAATACTTTTTTGCATTTTCTTTCGACTATTCTTTTTTCACTCACAATCACCACTAATAAATTAATAAAACATACTACAAAGATAAAACGATACTAATCTTTCAAAAACAATACAAAAACATACAAATTCAGTTGTAAATTCCAAGCGTAAATTCACCACAATGTGTATGTTGTCATGTAATTTGACACAAATGACAGTTCTAGAGCGGTAAACGTCAAAAAAGTAAGGTTATCAGTGACAAAATATATTGGCATACTTTAATCGTATATCAGCATATAATTTTATTATGAAATTTCTGAACAAATATGAAAAACTTAAATTTTTGTGACTGATCATAATAATTTAATCACCCACTGTATGTTAATAAAAATCAAAATATCTCATATTTCCCATTAATTATTTATTAATGAACATAAATCAACTTAAGAAACAAAATATAACACTCTTATGATATATATTATACATTAAATCCAAACTGAAACTAAAAGAACTCAAAATCTTCCTTAAATAAGTTATGTTCACTTATTCTTAGCGTTTCTTCATCGTAATGATCAAAATTGCTTGCGTCACCAACTGATTTCAGTGCTGGTTTAAACGGTGGTTCCACTTGTTTGTTGTAAATTGCAACAAAATCCATATCTTTAAACCAGCGATGGCTCTTCAAGTCTTGTATACCATTTTTTAAATTTCCATACCTACAAATAATTTTATTATTAAAAATATAAGGATCGTTTAAAATATCGTTTGTGGTTTATATAATAGGTCCTATCACACGTTCAGTGCAAGGCTGCAGTAACTCAAAATTTTACGAAAATGAAGTAATCATGGAATTCAATTGTAAACATGCATATCTATCCCCTGTAAAACTTTAGTAACTTTCAAATGCTTAACCGGCTAAATATTACAACAACAACAGTTTAACTATTTTGCGTTTTTGTACATAAGTTCCGTGCAAAAATTCTAATGTAACAGAATTACAACAGTTTTGCACCGAACATTGCAATGGTTTCGATAACATGCAATGAAAGGCATGAAAAAGGTAAGATATTAGTTATTTTAATATCTATATCTGTAGTGTTCAATTTTAGTATACAGCGTGTCTACGTAATCCATTTACGACCGAGACAATAAACAAAGATTTACGACACCAATCTATTCATCAAAGTTTTATGTCCTTTGTGTGGTATTATATTTTCCATAAAATGTGTGCGATGTCTTTTGACCATTTATTTATTAGATTAGTATAGAAGACAAATGGAATTGTATTAAAAAAGCTATCGTAACCACTACCAAGTCTCTGCTTGCTTCCCAAAAGTACAAAAAGAAGAATTGGATGACTGACGAAATATTATCAATGATGGACAACCGCAGATCATTTAAAAACAAAGACCGAACCAAACATCAGCAGATTAACCGACAAATATGAAAAAAATGTCGGAGGAAATGGAGGAGGTGCATAAACTTATTAAAAAAGTAATAGGTCATACAAAACCTTGCAGTTTTAACAGTATTGTGAAGGATAATAAATTAATTACTGATCCCAAAGATCTACTTCAGCATTGGAGAAACTACACACAGCAACTATACTCATACCCAACTAGAAGAAACTCTGAAAGTTAATATAAAATATTGAAGGCAGAAGTTGTAAGGGCAACCAAACAGAGCAATGGGGAAAAGCACCAGGCCCAGACGACATACACATAGAGGTTGTAACAATGTTGAGTGAAGACAATTTAGACGCCTTGGTAGATCTTTTTAATGACATTTATAGGTCCCGTCAAATACCACAGGACTGGCTTCAATCAACCTTTATACCAATCCCAAAAAAGCCAAATGCTAATAGGTGCGACCAATTTTGAATGATCAGCTTATTAGGCCAGGTCTTAAAACTCTTCTTAAAGATAATTCACACAAGAATATACAACAGATGTGAAAGAAACATTAGCCCCACACAGTTTGGTTTCAGACAAGGATTTGGCACAAGAGAAGCACTTTATAGCTTAACTGTCCTACTTCAGAAATGCAGAGATCAGCAAAAAGATGTCTTCATATGCTTTATAGATTACCAGAAAGCATTCGATTGTGTTAATCATTCAGAATTAGTAAGATTGCTCCAGGAACGTTCGATAGATGAGAATGACCTTAAAATCATAAAGAACCTTTATATGAATCAAGAGGCATCTGTGAGAGTAGGACAGAATATGATCTACATCATATTTCTCAATCGAAAAATGTGTACGACAGGGTTGTGTTCTGTCACACCTCCTTTTTAATGTTTATTCTGAAACGATTTTCGATAGAGCCTTAAGTGACACTGAAGATGGAATCAAAATCAACGGACAGACTATTAGTAATCTTTTGCTATGCTGATGATACAGTCATAATAGCTGATAGCCAAGAACCACTACAACGACTAATAGACAGAATAAACACTGAGGAAGAACGACTGGGCTTGAAGATTAATATAGACAAGACGAAGGTAATGGTGGTTAGTAGAACACGAAATATGCAATTAAATATAAGAGTAAACAACAAGAACATCCAAAAGGTCCCCAAGTTCAGATATCTTGGTAGTTGGATAACTGTAGATCTAGATCCAGACATAGAGATACCTAGCAGGATTGGGCAAGCCAGAACAGTATTTACTAATATGAAAACTTTGCTAAGCAACAGCAGCCTCAACTTAACGCTTCGATATCGCTTTGTAAAATGTTACATTTACTCCATACTGCTATATGGTGAAGAATCCTAGACAATAAAGGCCAATGTGATGAACCGAATAGACGCCTTTGAAATGTGGGTATTTAGATTTCTGGATTCCAGGATAAAATTCCCTGTACAGATCACACAACAAATGTCGAAGTATTAAATCGAATGGACAGAGAACCAGAATTGCTGCCAATAATAAAAAGAAGAAAAACTGTTTATCTGGGTTATATATTTTGAAATTCCAAGTACCAGTTCTTAAATCTTATTATGGAAGGGAAGATAGAAGGAAAACGCGGCATCGGAAAAAAGAAATACTCCTGGCTTAAAAACATAAGGGATTGGACAAATCTTGATGCCCATGCACTTTTTAGAGCCACACAAGATCGAGGGGGGTATGCCAGAATTGTCGCCAACATCAACTAATTGGGTAGGGCACCATAAGAAGAAGAAACAAACATTGCTTGAAATACAGATTTATGAATCACATCTGCATAGTAAAAATCTCACGCGTGAAAGAAAGTTCCTTGATTAAAACTAAGCTAAAACCTATAAGGGAAAAATATTAACACCTACATTCAATTTTCAGAAAATACTTTCATTATTATCTTTATTATAAACATAAACTATTAATATTCATCTTCACTGTTTTCAATGTCGTGGATAAAGAAGGTACTTGCTCCATGATGCATAAAGGGCAGAGCAAAAGGGGCGCTTATGGGGATTCTACATGTTAGATGAAATTTATTTTAAATCATAAGGACCTAGGCACAAATGAATTTAGATTTTGGTCGGATAATTGTGTGGGCAAAAATCGCGATCGCATAGCCATGTATTTGTATGCTGCATCCACTTTAAAAGTATCTATTTGTCATTGCTTTTTAGAAGTTGGCACACTCAGAAGGAGGGTGATAGTGAGTTATATATTTTTTATTTTTTTTTGTTACTAGAAGGTTTTTATGCTTTATTAAAATTAACGTTATGTTGATGGATCTTAGAATAAGGTTATTAAAAGGTATTGCATGATTTATTTAGACTACGATACATCTAGGACGACTATGAACAATCATTAATAGACATTGAGAGAACTTTTAAACAGCTGTACTGTAAAGTTGACCGAATGCACTTACGATATTCTACGTAGGAGGTGTCGATATATCAAAAATAGTGGATTTTGCCCAATCTATAGGTATTTGTTCTTTACTTTCCAATATTATTTTTAATAATTCATATACACATTTATGTCATTTATGTACTCTAGTTTGTTCTATTGTTTAAATTTTGTTTAATTCCTCTTATATACGGACTAAAAACTAAATATCTTATGGGAAGAAATGTTGTACTCACCTTCTACTTAAATCTACCTGTAAAATATTTTGGATAAGGCTTTGCAATTCGTAAGTAAACGTAGCTGGGCATTTATATTTTCCCGCGATGATTCTTTCATATATTTTCATTACGTCTGCAGAAGAAAATGGAGCGTAACCTGCATTCATTTCGAAAAGCAACACTCCAAACGACCACCAGTCGACGGCTTTTCCATAACCTTTGCTTAGGATGATTTCTGGAGCTATGTACTCAGGTGTGCCACAAAGCGTCCAAGTACGACCCCGGACTAACTGTATGAAAAAGAACATAAATACATAATATATATATATATATATATATATATATATATATATATATATATATATATTATGAAAACAGAAATACAATAATTAACTTAGAAATATATACAACCAGATATGCAGTTTTGATTAGTAGATTTATTTAAATAGTGGTTAGAGACATAATATGTAAGTTATATATTAGATAATATTATTAAAAAATAATTATATGAGGGTATTTTTAAGAATTTAGCATAAGAATTAAGTTTAAGAAATTTTTTTTATTTTATTTTATTTAATATTTAATATGTTTACTCAGCCATGTGCTATGCAACCAAACATACACTGTAGTGTCAAAGAAAAAAGTTATTTATTTTTGGAATGTTAATTTAGAATATAATTGTGGATGTAAAATAGTAAAAATATATTTAATATAAATGTTTAAGTTACATATAATAGTGTAGTTCTGATCTGGAGAGCCTAAAGTCAAGTAAAGTATAGATAGAAAACTCTAGAAATGTCAATGGGACTATTTACATAACACATCACAGTCAGGAAATCATTCCAGATTGTTCATATAGAAAAAATAGAAGGTTTCGAACAATATTTATTGCTAGAATATTCTGGAAAGAATAAAAAAATATAAAGCCATGTAATTCGAGTCAGTTAGCAGTTTTAGTCAGTCAGTCAGTCAGTTTGAATTAGTAGTTTAGTTCAGTTCAGTTACCAGTTCAGTTATCAAGTAGTAAAGTTATAATTCAAGAATTTAGTTACAAGAAGGTTATTAATTGAGTTAAGTGAGTTAGTTAGAAGAAGTTCCAAATCAGTTACAAGATTATTATTGAGGAGTTAGTTATAACAATTCAAGGATTATTAAGTCAGTTGTTTATGAGGTTATGAAGAGATTCTTAGCTAGCAGAAGGCATTGATTAAGTTAAATGAATTGTTAAGTTAAATACAGTTGGAGATTAATTATTACTACAGTAATATAGTGACAGTTTGAAGTTAATTAATTGAAATAAGCATTCAATAATACAACCACAAGATCCAGTATATTTCAAATTACATTAAGTATATGGAAATTACAAGGAGTTGAATATATATTTATATGGTGAGTGGAGATAATTCAGAAGGTAGATATTAACATAGTTGTATAACCAAGGCTTAGTAAGAAGATATCGAGTGGTGATAATAACTTTAATTTTGGAAAAACTTTAGGCGTTCAGTGAAAGAAGGTACCAAATTTTGTTAATAATTTAATAATTGTAAGAATTTCAAATTTTAGATAGATTGTGTTAAATTGATATTGCTTATATTAGATAGATAAGTTTGTTTCATAATATTTATAATAAAGATAATTTAAAAAAGTACTTACAAACTAATTCTTTGAGAACCGCGATAAAAACCCTATACATACATATATATCATTCAAATTTAATCATAGCTCATACAACAACAACAAATCATAACAATATATATATATATATATATATATATATATATATATATATATATATATATTATAACAATTAAATATGACTAATAATTAGGAACCACGAATCACTTAATGACGAGGAAACAACGTTTAGTGCACTATTAACAGATATGTAGTCGAAACAACCTAAACGAAGGACAATCTAAGAATAAAATTGGATGGCCATTATTATTAGGATAGTTAGTGAAACCTTTTTCAAACATAATCTTGTATAGTGATACCCCATTTTGAAGCCATTTTCAAGATGGGTACGGTTCCGTTCGAGTTTCGGACCCCAATCTGCCTACTCCCTTCACTCGTGACGTACCAGTATCATGTATTCGAATTATACTATATAAATACTTTGCAAAATCTATAGCTAAATAATGAATAATATGTCATGATCTCAGAACTGCACCACTGTGTTAATATTGCAGTTCCGTAGTATTATACAGGGTGTCACCAAAAATTGTGAGTTCGTTTAAGGTATGGATATTATATAAAATTTAGAACAAAAAAGTCATATAACATTTTTTCCAAGTTAATGGTTTCCAAAAAAATTGCATTGTTTTCCATATAAGTGAATTATTATTTTCAGAAAATTAAATATTTTATCAACGTCGTACGCAGTGAAAGCGCTACTGAATAAAAACTTGTTTGTGACTTAGGGCATTTAAAATAGTCCAACCCTTGTTTATTTACTATTCAAGGTTGTTGACATCTGAGGAAATGTATGTACCTAATATCTGCAAAATAATTATTTCTTGCATTAAAAATATGTCATTTGCTATTATCTGATTTAATTAAGGTTTTGGATTAAAGCTCGAAGTTTTAAATAAATTATTATTTTTACTTAAGTAAGTACTATGGATGCGGGTAGTGGGTAGGTACTCTTCCACAATCCCAGTGGAGGATAGACTTACTTCAGGGATGCGATCCTGCCCTACGCGAGCCTTGATTCTCTCTCAACTCCTGTGGAGAGAAATCATTTCCTAACCCCATTCCTACCCAATACCTACTATCCTACCAATTTCCCAAACCAACTCACCAACCTGCCTGGCAAGCGTGGTGTTTAAATGTCAAAACCCCCTCAGCATGAACAGACATTCAAGAAAACGGCCCTCAGTCCCCGGCAGCTCGGTAGTTCCTGACCAAGGTAGCGGTAGGACTCACGGACAGCGGGTAGAGGGTGCGAAGAATCCCCGGGATGTAAGAGGCTACCAAGAACGACGAACATTGCACATAATTACGTATAATGTAAGAACTTTATCTAAGGATGAAAAAATGACAGAACTGGAGCAAGAACTCAAACATGTGAAATGGGATATTATAGGAATTAGCGAAGTCAAAAGAAGAGGTGAAGATCAGGTCAAACTAACATCAGGAAACATATTCCACTATAAAGGGGAAACGGATACGACAACTGGAGGAATAGGTTTATTAGTACACAAAAAATTACAGAAAAATATACAGAGCATTGACTGCATTTCCCCAAGAGTTATGTATATAAATCTAATACTAAATAAGAGATACAATCTGAAAATAATCCAGGTATACGCCCCCACCAGCGATTACGAAGATGAAATTGTCGAAGCCTTCTATGAGGAAATCGAAAGAGCAAAAAAGCAGGAACCGGCTCATTACAATCTGATAATGGGAGATTTTAACGGGAAACTCGGAAGGAAAAAAGACGAACAAGAAGTGACAATCGGAGATTTTGGAATCGGAGTAAGAAACGAAAGAAGCGAAATGCTTACCAACTTTCTACTGCAACACAAACTGTATACAATGAACACCTTTTTTAAGAAGAAACAGAATAGAAAATGGACGTGGGCTAGTCCAGACGGAAGAACTAAGAGCGAATACGATTATATAATAACAGACAAAAAGCAAATGATTTAAGATGTCACTGTACTCAATAAACTATCAGTAGGAAGCGACCACAGACCAGTAAGAGCTAGAGTAACGATCAATCTGCAAAAAGAATTGAAAGAATTGTAAACGCATAGTTTGGAATTCACCAAATCATCCAGAAGCATACATACGAAATATAGCCGAAACCTTACAGAGTAATAATCCCAAACCTCTAAGTATCGACTATCACAATAAATTAATAACAGACTCAGTTAGAAACGCACAACTCAAATTTTGCAAGAAAAATGACACCAAAAGTGAAAAGATTAGCAAAGATACAAGGGCTCTCATGGAAATACAACGAAACCTAAGCGAGAACGAAAAGGGAAACAAAGACGAATATAAAAAACTAAATAAAAGAATTTCAGCGGAAATTAGAAAAGATGTAAGAAGATATAATACTAATGTAATTACTCAAACAGTAGAAGAGAACAAAGGTTTAAAGATAATGAAAAGAAAACTTACGCATAGTAAAAAAGAAATATACAAGCTGAGAGATAAAGACGGAAAGGCAACAACAGATAAACAAAACATTCTGAAAATAACTAGAGAATTTTATAAAGACCTCTATACCAGCTAAAGACCACAAGACAATTTCCCGACACGAGTAGAGACTCTCATAAATTAGGGTTCGGAAATACTTTTACCCATTACTGTGTCAGAAGTAAGAGCAGCTTTAAAGGAAATGAAGAACCATCGATCGCCTGGTGATGATGGACTCGTTATCGAGGCAATAAAAGCAGGTGGATAAATTTTATTAAAATCAGTAAGCGAACTGTTTACTAAATGCTTACATGCGGGTACGATTCTAAAAGACTGGAACAATGCAGTAATAGTCTTGTTACACAAAAAGGCGATATTACTAAATTAGAAAATTATAGACCCATCAGCCTCTTGACACATATGTACAAACTCTTTATGAAAATCTTAACAAAGAGGCTAACACCTAAACTTGATTTCTATCAGCCAAAAGAACAGGCAGGCTTCAGGGCAGGATATGGCACAAATGACCATTTGCATACCATAAAGATCTTAATAGAAAAGTGCATCGAGTACAACATACCACTGGTTCTTGCATTTGTCGATTACGAGAAGGCTTTTGATTCTGTAGAGTTTGAAACAATACTGGAAGCCCTAAATCAAAGTCGAATAGATTACAGGTACACGACACTAATCAAAAACATCTATCAGAACGCTACATCAAGTATACGACTGCACGAAGACACAGAAAAATTCAGCTTAGGTCGAGGAGTTAGACAAGGAGACAATATTTCACCAAAATTGTTCACGGCAGCTCTAGAGTCAATATTTAAGGGTACTCAATGGCAAGATATGGGCATCAATATAGATGGAGAAAGATTAAATCACCTAAGGTTTGCAGATGATGTTGTATTAATCGCAGATAACTTACATGATACAGTTTCTATGATGCATTCGCTTACAAGTCTGTCTGAAAGAGCAGGATTAAAGATAAACTTTGAGAAAACTAAAATTATAACAAATCTCGTAATGAGTGGAAATATAACTATTGACAATAATATCATACAACAAACAGACACTTACAAATATCTGGGACACGAAATCAAAATAAGCAGAGACAATCAAACACATGAAATACAGAGGCGAATAGGTCTAACATGGGCAGCATTTGGCAAATTAAGCCATATTCTAAAAAGTTCAATTTCCATGTGTCTCAAGCGAAAGGTTTATAACCAATGTGTTTTACCTGTATAAACTTATGGAGCAGAGACTTTAACACTCACGCAAAAATCTGCGAATAAACTTAGAGTTACACAACGAGCCATGGAACGTGTAATGCTGAACGTGAGCCTTCGAGACCTCATAACAAACCAACAAATCAGGTGAAGATCAGGAGTTCAAGACGTCATCGAAAGAACCACGACGCTTAAGTGGAACTGGGCAGGGCACTTAGCCAGAACACAAGATGGACGGTGGACAAGACGTATTATGGAATGGAGGCCCAGAAATTATAAAAGAAGCCGAGGACGACCACCGACTAGATGGACCGATGACATTAAACGTGTAGCGGGAAACTGGCTACAAGTGGCCCAGTGTAGAGAACACTGGAAAGAACTGAGGGAGGCCTATTTCCAGCAGTGGACGCGATTGGCTGATTGATGAAGTACTATGGATTACCGATGCATTTAAATTTGGTTATAGCTAAATTACTGCTACACTGCGCTTCTCCATAAATAATCATCATATTATGGTACTCATGAACCGAAAACATTTTCGCGGTGATACTAAACGCGATTGCTCCAAAATATCCGCGTCTCTACGTTAAGATTTTTGTACTGCACGAAATTGACAGATTTCTTTTTGTATACCAAAATGTATTCTCGTTTTTGGGCCAAACAGTTGAATTTAGAAAAAAATGTTTTTTTTTGCTTTACATGGCGCCTTTCACCTATACCTTTAAGGAACGCATTATTTTTGGAGACAATTTATATAGAATAAATATATGATAGTACCTTACAGAATCCTAAATCAGCAATTTTAATGTAGCCCTTATGGTCGATAAGTATATTTTCAGGCTTTAAATCTCTGTATATTATGTCACAAAAATGAAGAAATTCTAAAGCTAATAAGACTTGAGCTGCATAAAATCTTGATAATACTTCTGTAAATTTTCTCATCCTGAAACATAATAATAATTAATTTTGTAAAAAACTAATGTAGATGAACTAAAAACTAAAATTAGATAGCAACGAATTCGGGAACTAAATCTGTCGCTTCGCATACTTAATCCACAGGAGTCCCTTGATTTTACAAACTTTCATTTTTTGGTCAGCGCTTCCACCTTCTGTAAAAAAATTTCTTCTTTACTTTGTAATAATATGGTCATACTTGAGTAATGCCCATTTTACATTGTTCGATCATCTTACAGTACTTATGCCACTTTTTTCACTTTTGTTGATTATATTGATTTTTTCTTTGATAGAAAGGCGTTTCCTTTTTCCGCATACAGTCCTTACCTCCAAAATAAAACTAATACCTTGATAAAAAAAATATCATCGAATTTTACGTACCAAGAAGAAAAAAATCAATATAGTCCAGTCGTCAGAGAGTTGATCCCGAAAAATCATACGAACAAGCTAAATTTTTCAGAGAATATTAATTTTGGAACCACAAAAAAGATCCAAAAAGTTTTCCACTTTTTCCCTGGGCTTACACACTAAACTTATTTTTACAGCTACTTAGTGTTATCTGTATAATTCTAATAAATACCTTCTGAGATGAGTGAACATTTCACCGCCATTTATAAAAGGCATCACGAGGTAGACATAACTGTTATCCTTATAGCAAGCTTCTAAATGTACTATAAATGGAAACCGTACAGCCTCTAAAATTCTCTTTTCATATAACGTGTGTTCCAATTGTTGTAGTTTCATTATTCTAGCTTTTGAAATACATTTCATTGCATAGTACTCATCTTTTTCTTTATCCTGATCTTCACTTTCTTTTTTCACTAAGTACTAAAATAAGTAAAACAGATTAAATAAAATAAAAATAAAAATCAATGTAGCAGCGAATTTCTTTAATAAAATTATTAATTTTTCTTTTTTGGTGTTAATTTTTGAATAAAAAATATTTCTTTATTATTTCAGAAAAAATGATGGTATAAATGAAGGTATATTAGCTTTTGTACAAAAAATATGTCCAGATTGTTCTGACGAATTCAAAAACTAGATATTATGGTGGGATTTTTTATTTAAACGTTTTTATACATCCTGTATAAAAAATGACAACTACGCTCAACTAAAAATAAAAATAAAAAAATGTAAAAGATGTAGAAACTTCTATTGTATAATGATATATTATTTTATTAAAAAATAATTAAAATTTATCCAAAAGGATTAAAATTATTGCAAAACGTTTTCGGTCCAACCGGACAATATCTTCAGGGAAACGTGAAAGTATATTTTCACTTTAAAATTTTGACAGTTAAATTTCTAAAAATGTGGAAAATACTTACATTTTCCACATTTTTTAGTTATTTTAAGTTAAAATCAATTTTCTTAGAATGTTAATTTGAGATTTTTTTTGAAAATCGCATTGGAAATCGGAATGTCAAAAATAAAATAAAAATGTAATATATATTATAATTACAGTTAAACGTTAGTGAAAAATATATATTATTCATTGAAAAATATGCCACAATAATATAGTTTCGGAAACATACTCTTATTGTGGCCATTTCTTATTGATTTCAAAATTTGTATCTACTCACCACTCGTCCAAAAGAACCTGTACCTAGAGTTTTTATTTTTATATAAAGTTCTAACCCTTGGGAACCAGCACGTGCCTTTTTCTCCCATTTCCAATAAAAATCTCTTCTTAAAGATTCCAATATCTCCGTGTAGGCTGTTTTGACTTTACCTTTCTAAAAGAAAATATTAGACTTTATATGAAAATATTAAAAAATATACTCGTATAAAATAGAATGAAAATAAAACCCATTGTTTGGGCGACGTTTTGGCAAGGTCACACTAGCCATTGTCAAGTTAGATTAGTTCTGCTTCTTCCTGATCTGCGAGGAGAAATGATTTTTATGCAAGAAATCAAGCGATTTAATTAAACCCAGCATGTGAGACATGTTCACCACTTAGAATAACGTTTGGGTGTAAGAATTCAATGGAGTGGGGTATATTAACTGGAGTAAAACATGAATCCCTCCACCTAGCTCCAATGCTCCAGATCTTGGAGCCACTTTTCTCTTCTACAGTACTCTGATGCATTATAGGGGAACAACTATCTAACCTAAAATCCTAACCTATCAACTACAATATAATAAACCACTACAATTAATATTCGTGAATTATAAAAAGGGTTTTGACACCATAAATCAACAAAAATGTTGGAAGCCTTAACAGAATGCCGAATTGACTATCGGTATATAAATATATGGTGAGACCAAAGTATGAAATTTTGAGACTGATAATACAGGGAATGGTTTGAAGAAAGAAGATCTGTTGGCCGACGGCAGAACTCATGGTTAAAGAATCTACGTGATTGGTATCATTGCAGATCGATTGATTTGTTTAAAGCAGCAAGTTCTAAAATAAAAATAGCCATTATGATTGCTAACCTCCGTAGGGAGACGGCACTCTAAGAAGAATATAAATATATAAACACATATACCAATACGCAACTGCTAGTGTTTGAGTTTGTGATCATCAAACTCAGAAATTTCCGATAGAACGTGGACACTATATCACCGAAACTGTCACCATATATGTGAAAGGGAAAGACTGACCGACAAGGGCATAAACATAAATGGAGAGAAAAGTTTAGCTACCTGAGGTTTGCAGATTATATTGTGCTAATAGCTGATAGGATAGATGAGGCCAAAGAGCTTTTAAATTAGCTCTACCTTTCCTTGCTAAAAGCATATTAAAAATAAATATATGCAAAACCCAGATGATGATAAATCTTGTAGTCAGCTAAGATATATGCGTAGGAACAAGATCCATAGACAAGGTAATGGTCTATAAATAACAAGGTTACGAGATCCACATAGAAAAAATAACCAAACTGTTGAGCTTTTCCTTCGTATAAGACTTGGACAGCCTTTGGAAAATTGAACTACATTTTCAAATCATCTGTTATATCAATATGTCTTTAAAGAAAAACCTTTAATCAGTGTGTTTTGCCAGTGTTGACTTACTGAATGGAAACATAGACTATGACAAGGAGAACAGTGAAAAAGATTTGTGTGGATCAAAGGGCAATGGAGCGTGCTATATTGGGCGTTTCAATACCAAACAAGATCCCAAACAGCCAGCTATAACCAAGATCAGGAGTGGCTGATGCTGTAGAGAGAATGGCAACACTGAAGTGGAACTGGACAGGTCACGTCAAATGACAGATAACAGATGAACAAAGCGAATACTGGAATGGAAACCAAGAGATGATGCATATCGAAATAGAGGTCATACACCAAACACCACACGTTGGACTGACGATCTAATATGTTGCTATAGGAATTGGATGCAAGAGGGATAAAATCGAAACAGAAAATTATGAGGAGATCTATGTCCAACAGTGGACGAGCGCAGAATAAATAAAAATATAAATGCTGTGTTCTTGCCAAACATAATAGACTGTTTTCAATACCTGGATAAAAATCGAGATATAGTCTACTCAACTAAAGTAGCAAACTCAATACTTTTTACAACAATTCAACCTAATTCAATTATAACAAAAATGATAACATTGCCTCGGAACAGAAGGATAGGAAATATAAACGACACTCTCAACAAAATAAGGACATTTGCATAGGAACATGGAATATGTTGACCGACAATACAGGAAATAACATGGACAGCAACTGGAATTCTGGAAATGAAAGATACTAGTCATTTGGTCGGGTAGTGAGAATAGACATGAATACGGATGTGGCTGTGTCATTGCAAAAAGACTAAAGTCAGCAGTGATAGATTTCAAGCCAATAAACAAACAAATCTGCTATATTAGACTCAAGGGTAAGTGGTTTAATCACACAATACTCTCAATATATGCCCCAACAGAAGATGCCGAAAAAGATAGGAACGATGAATTTTATGAATTATTAGACCATCAGTATAAAGCTGCCAAAAAACATAGCGTCAAAATAGTGATGGGAGATTGCAACGCTAAACTAAGTAAGGAAGATTATTTAAAAGAAGTAATTGGCAAGCATAGCTTGCACGACACAACAAATGATAATGGATACCGGCTAACATAATTCGCAATATCTAATAACATGATCATTAGATCCACCCAATTCGAGAGAAAGGACATTTACAAGATCACATGGGTTTCAAATGATGGAAGAACACGAAATCAAATAGATCATTTCCTCATTGATGTAAGATCAAATAGATCAAAAATAGAATGAATCAAATAGATCGTTTCCACTCTACTAGCATTATTAATTTGAGAAGTATGAGAAGTTAAGAAAGCAATTATCAATACAGAAACTGGAACAACAACAAAAAAAATGGAACATAGGAGCCCTACAAACACCAAATAAAGAACTGGATTACCAAGTGAAAATAAGCAAGAGATTCCAATTGCTGGGAGAGGAAGAGCATAATGTAGAGCTAGAATAAGCATCGTAGCAAGTGGCATCAGTTATAGAACAAGCAGCCAAGGAAACCATTGGAAAAAAAAACTCGCCCAAAACGGAAATGGTTTGACAAAGCATGCGAGGAAATTCTGGAAATAAAAATGAAAAAAAGATTGAAAATGCTACAAGACCCCACAGATGAGAAGATAGCAGAACAAGAGCACAAACAAGAATCAAATAAGGAAATTCTTTAGTACGGTGAAGTCAGTCAGAAAAGGTGCAAGTGTTGGAGTAACACAGCCATGAGAAATAAAGCAGGTGAACTTATAATAATAGAAACGGAAATCGTCGAACGATGGAAGGAATACTTACAGAATTTACTTAATATTAAAAGTAAGACGGAGGAAGCAGATATTACGTTTTATTCTGCAGATATCGAAATGCCAGCACCAACACTTAAGGAAGTAAAGAATGCAATCGCGTCTCTAAAAGACCATAAAGCACCAGAAAATGATGGCATAAATAAAGAGTTGTTAAAAAAAGGAGGAATCCTTTTACACCAAAAATTGAATGACATCATTCTGGGAGTATGGCAATAACAGAAAATGCCTAGGGATTAGAATGGAAGCGATATAATTCTCATATATAAGAAAGGAAACACAGAAAAATTCTGAAACTATAGAGGCACATCCTTTATTAGCAATCATATAAAGTGCTATCAATTATCTTGCTAATAGCCTCACACCATATTCGCAAGATATTCTAGGCAAATACCAATGCGGTTTTCGTGCTGGAAGGTCAACTATAGATCAGATATTTACCATCCGACAAATATTAGAGAAAAACTGGGAATTCAACCACGATGTGCACCAAATTTTCATAGATTTCCAGCAAGCATATGATTCCATAAAAAGAAGCAAATTGTTAGAAATAGAAATACCAAGAAAATTAGTTAAATTAACGCAAATGCCCATGGCAGACTCAGCGCAAGTAAAGATATAAAGCAGAACATCGATGCCATAAAATTGAGCATTATACTCCATTTCAACATTATTAAGATCGAAGTTGCTAAAAAGAAAATCTAAATTAACACTGTACAAGTCGATTATTCGCCCAATTATTACATATGACAGTGAAACATGGACTCTCAACCAGCGGCAAATCAATAAGCTTCTAGTATTTGAAAGAAAGGTTCTCAGAATAATAATTGACGCTCAAAGAGATGAATTCACAGGGGATTGGAGAAGAAGCCGCAATGCTGAATTGATGACTCTGTATGGAACTGCTACGAGCTAACCATCATCATGGGTGATTTCAATGCCAAAGTTGACAAAAGCAGAGTAGAAGACATCGTCGGACAACACGGCTTAGGCGAGAAAAACGAAAGAGGAGACCGACTAATACAATTTTACCGGGAAGAAGATTTTACCACTGCTAACACGTGGTTTAAACTTCCCCCGAGACGACTTTATACGTGGAAGTCACCTGCAGATACAGCCAGCAGTATCATCAGAAACCAGATAGACTTTATTCTCATTAACAGAAGATTCAAGAGCAGCTTGACTTCGGTGAAGACCTACCCAGGAGCAGACGTCTCATCGGACCACAACCCATTAGTGGACTGGATAGAACTCAAACTAAAGAAACTCATCAAAAATAAACCTAAACAGAACCTGGATTATGACACTCTAAAAGACCCCGTAGTTCGTCAGAACGTGAGAGATGCAATGAGACAAAAACTAGAAACGGCTCAACAACAAGAACAGAGTGTGGAACAAAAATAGAGTTATATCAAAGACGTCATGCTGAATGCGGGAAAAGAACATATGGAAAGAAAAAAAAGAGTAAAAAATAAAGAATGGATGACTGATGACATTATGCAGATAATGGAATAAAGAAGATTAATGAAAAACAGGGACGCGAAGAAATACCAAGAAACCAACCAGACAATTAAAAAAGAAATACGAAGAGCCAAGGAGACATTGATGCAAGAAAAATGTAAACTAATCGAGGAGCTTCAAGAGAAACACGATCATATAAATATCCACCGAAAGATTCGTGAAGCGACTGGTCAATACAAGAGGAGAAACACACACCTCCTCATAAATAAAGACGGTAATCTGGCGACGACAGTGTCGGAAATAAATTGCATGACAGGGCCGTCAATTCTAGAAAGCGAGGTAAAGGCTGCTTTAAAACAGTCTAAGAATGGTAAGGCTACAGGTCCAGACGAAATACCCGTTGAACTTATTAAGGTGATGAGTGAAGTGAGCACGAAGGAGTTAACTGAACTGTTCAACGCCATATACGATTCAGTTAATATCCCAGAGGAA